CACTTACTTTGCAAATTTTGTAAACCTTATTTATGACGAGTAAACGTTTAAATGAGTAGAAATTGGGACATCTACCTTATTGACTGACGGTGCGCAAACACATCCAGCAGTCACGTACAAAAATATTCGTTAAAAAGCGGCGCCGATCCGGTAGCCGAGTTACAAAGACGGGTCTCGAGCTTTTAGCCGCGAACCTGTCCGCGTGCGATATGTATTCCTCGAACTGTTCCAACGTAACACAAGCCTGTATATCGGGTTCGTTATCTATAAGCTAGCCCAGGGCTATCGCCGTCGTTTTTCTAGGCTTCCAGGAATTTCGTGGTGGTCAGGGAAGTCAGCTGATCCGTGGCTGCCAAAAAAGTTGATCGCAACGGTCCGATAAAGGACAGCCGTATATACACATATATCGTGAATACCACGTAGAAAATGTGACTCTCCGCTCGTGACTAATGTTTCGTCAAACGATACAGTTGACGGAAAACCTTGGACGCATGCTGGCTCTGATCGCGTCTCGTGTGTTCACCTGGCGGGGAAACGTGTTCCCTAGAGCTGCCAAGAGACCTTTCGTCGCGATCGTGCGCCTCTTCGCTGGCTACGATAGGATACGAACATACAATATCGTTGCGAATAACATCGACTTGGTCGTATAGAAATATTCTCCTAATCTTTACGAACGAGCTTAGAGAGACGAAACGGAAGAAACAAAAGGCAGAACCATAGATAGGATAGTTTCCCGAAGAGATTCACGCCTTAAAGTCTCTTCGCGAGTCTTTTCCGTATCACAGCACACGTGTAAACACGGCTTTACGATAGACGAGGCGTCGTCGTCCCTCTTCCGACGAGAAAAGTGGCTCTCTCGCGGAGAGCAGAGACCGACAGCGAGCCGCCACCGCTGTTTACTCGTGCCCCGGCCGATGAAACGTGAATGAAAAGAAGAAAAAAATCGGCGTTTGCGCCCGTTCGCGCGGAGTCACTTTGCTTTCGTCGGAGCACAAGTCGGCTCTCCTCCTCGAGGTGTGTAATATACGTGAACCTAGATAACGGGACCAACGTATAACATTATACGGCGAGGTAACGCGCCAGCGCAGGCGAACCCAGGGATCGAAGAAAAAAAAATAAGAAACACGAATCGTAGGCGATAAAGCCGTCTACTGCGCGCGGGAAAATCGGTGTCGACGAACGATAAGTATCGTTGGCTGGTGTTCTGGATCAAGGACAATAATTTCCATGAAACGCATGTCTTTCGTTACTGCACGAAGATGATTTCGGAAGTAACAAGATTCGGACATTTTCTGTCCAGGTCGATTCGAATGGAATTCAGAGTTGGAACATTCGTGGTGGTAACACCGTCCGAAGAATAGCCCAGTCTAGACGATATTACCCGAACAGACCGTGCAACGGGTCACCTATGTATGCACCGCGAGAGCGCTGTTATGTTCGCTCAGCCGTTTTGCTTCGTTTCTTTTCTTTTCTTTTTTTTCTGCATTTGTTCCCAGGCAGAATATAGAATCTCGACGGGGCAAAAGGCGACGGCGACGCTTCCTAGAAGGATTTCAAAGAGTCAGTTTGTTCGCGGCTCGAATCACGTTTCAATTACGCAAATTAGATTCTAATAAGTCCCGGTTCTGGATAAGATCCAAAAGCTCCGGGGAGACGGCCAGAGGTAATTGGACGAACGGGCGAGAGAAGAGGAATCAGGAGTAAGAAAGAGAGAGAAGACACAGGGGGGGGGGCAGTCATTACCGCATAATACAACACAACCGTGCGCTCGCGGTTGGCTGCACTTCTTTTACAACGAGAGAGCCTCGCTGCCTCGAGAAACTCTCTCGGCCGCCTCACGCCCGTATTACTCATTAGACGCAATAAACACTGGCGGCAGGGGCTGACATGTAGGAAACTTTTCGGGCCTATATGAAAACGTCTGCTTAGTAACCGTTACCCAACTATGTAGATATACTTGGCAACAACATCACCAGCAACAAAATTGGTCCTTCGTTACGTCTTATCTGTACACATCTTACGTATTAAACGAGAATGGTCTTATCAATTGCCGCGCGTTTTATCAAAGATCATTGAACTGGAGCAGAGTTTAGTAGATCGTACGACCCTGCGTTGAGCCGAAGATCCTCCCTTCAGTAGCAAATATCTCTGTCGATCCTTTTGTTCTAATCCCCGAAAAACCAAGTTCTTTAGCCCCCAGCCGATTTCACGACCACGCTATATTTCTTCCATCGAGTATATCGCCCAGAGCGCACAGTGTCCCGACTCTGTTTCCGTCAATCGGGAACGCTATGCGTTTTCTCCTTCCTAGCGGATGATAATTCAACGCGTAGCGGCCGGCAAAACGATCGAACAATATTTACGTTGGATCACACACCGCGAGCAAGATAGTCATAAACTAATCTTAACCGCGAACATGTAACTCGATAAACTCGTCGATGTATACGTGCCCACGAGTACACAATCATTAGACGGGGAGGTGCGGGCGGACGGCGCTCGCTCCTTTCTTTTCGTTTACCTTTTCGCGCAACTTCCTGCAACTGCAAATGAACGGGTGCGGAACCCCGATGCTCTGGATACAAAAACAACGTTTCACGTGGAAAAGTCCGAGCAACGTAACTGCGTGGTCGACGATTTCGAGGATCGTACGCCGCGATCGCGAGGGAATTCGATGGTGCACGCTCTGTACGGTATCTCGTGCGATGTTTGCGTGAATTAATTTAGGAAATTAACTCTGCAGGTTGTACGATCCTGTAATTTACGCCGAGAGATCGAAAGATACCCAAGGCTCCCATTACGTCTTTACGTAACATTTTTCCCAAGTACGTGGTAAAACCGGAAGACGTTCCCGGACAATTCTTACGCGCCTAATTAAATTCCCATTGACGGGAACCCCCTCTCGTTCAGGTTGGAAGAAGGTCAAGGATGCATTATCGTCAAATTACACTTAAACGACATCGCTACCTATCTGCGAGTTTTATGGCTTTCGCGATGCTATCTTGTCCCCGGGTAACGTCCATTCGGGTTTCACGCTACGATTTCGAAGCGTCGCGTGGGACATCCAACGGAGCCAGGCATGAATGAAAACTGAGTCGTCACGACAGCTCGGTCACCGGTCGATTTCCCCTCCCCAAACCCTTCGAGAAATTGTTCTCAAACGAACGATTCGCTGGATAATGAATTTTCCCCTGGCTCGTCTCGCGTTGTTCGTCGATCGATTAACGCGAAGGCAAGTCCAGGGAACGGAAAGATACGAACAAGTACTGTCGGGATGTATCGAAGCTCGGATTCTCACGAAGGGTGAAACGCACAGTTCCTGGTATTCCCGAAAACCAAACCGGCCCCGTGTTCGTTCTCACGATTTTTAACGGCAGGTAGGTTCTCGACGCCACGAGCACAGGATTTGCAGGTGAAACCGAAATGGACGGTTCGAATGGTCCGGCGGCTAAGCTCAGGTAAGTCTTCATGAAAGAAGACGCGTGTGTATAGACGAAGAGAGGAAGCTTCTCGAGTTTTTATCGTCTTCTCTATATGCTGTTCTTCTGGCGTTCACAAATAAAAGAGAAAGAGAGAGAATGAGAAGGAGAAGGACAGGAATACTTGGAAACGCGAAGAACAATAGAGCACGAGACGCACGGGACGAACGGAAGTCCTCGTTCAATCGGCTTTTATAAACGAGCAACAAGACGATGAATATTCGCGAAAGAACTGAATGAACACCAGAACCCCCTACCCACGTATCCCTGGAATACTTGTTATCGTTGGAAACATCAATTATCGGTGATATATCACTACGTGACATCAGCCCGAACGGAAACGTAATCAGGCTATCGCGGTGCAAACAAGTAGAAAGAAACCTGTGTGTACCGTCATTACAATGACTCCGATTCTCTTGTAAATAAAACTCTAAAGCTAATCTGTAAACCCTAAACAAGAACTTGGAACATTGACGGTTTTCCGAGGCCGTTAACGATAATCTAATTTATACGAGTTCAGGGCACTTCGACAAGCTCGAAAACACTTTGAAAAGTATGTATACATATAGGGAACGCGTTGATAAAAATATTTTCTTAACTTTTGTTCGTGTAATATAATCAAAGCGTTGAGAAACGTGAAATCCCTGGTATCCCATACGTAATCACCCCCGTGAGTAGATGGTCGAGGGAAAGGTCCCAGCCGGGTCAAAGACAGGTGGGTGGAAGGAGGAGAGCGCGGAGAGGGAGGCGACAAAGCACACGGGGAGCGTTTCCCACGACAGGTGACACATGGGAATCCTAGTCTCGGCGCAGGTGGATCAGGTTAGACGAGCAGAGAGATGGAAGACGAACGGGGAAGGGACAGGCGGTATCGAGTAGGAGTCCGAAGATCGACAAGGAGAGGCAACGTAGGAGAAAGAGGAGAATAATGGTCGAGAGGGACCAACGATACTCGACTGAGAACAAGTGGGAGGGGGGGAGACACGACCGAGAAATGGAAGAGGAACGGAGAAACGTCGTCCAGTGAGCCGTGCCGGCGATAAAGACTGTGACGGCCTTGAGGTATGTGGGACCCCAACAACACACGGACGCGTCTCATGCGACGACGACGACGACGAAAACGTTCGTCGCGTCGTAAGAGCGTGTCGTGGCTTCTCCGATAAAATGGCTCGCTCGAATCCGGATCGTTTGTTGAACGTATTGGATCGAAGCGTTAAATAATCGGTTAACCGTTAATTGAACGCTCGAAATCATACACCTGTCTTGGAGCGACTTAGAAACGTTATGAGTTTACGTCTCCTATATTCTATGCAACGTCTACGAGTAATGCCGTGGCGAATGAAAGTTCGAATGGTTGTTTCCCAGTAGAAAGATCGGTATGAATCAACAACAATCCCTCGTGTCCTTGTATACATGTTGTATAATGCTGCGAGAGAAACGCGAGAATCGCAAGGAAGCGAATGCAAGAGATACATACAGAATAGAGGCGAAGGTATATAACAAGGAAGAGAATAAGGAACTCACTTGAGAAAGTAGATCTGTCCCTCGGGGGTGCGCGCCTGTTCCCATCCATGCGGCAGGGGACCCAGGTCGTCGACCGTGCTGATGACGTCGTAGCTGCGTTGCTTCTGGTGATGGTGGTGACGCGCGTGTGGCTGGGGCGCGTGCTGAGGTGCTTGCTGAGCAGACGCGTACGTCTGCTGAAGCGAGGCCGGGCTGCTGTGGGCACGAGGATGAGCGACGGTGAGGCCAGCCGCGGCCGCGGCAGCGACTGCAGCCGCAGCCGCACCTGCGGCGTTCGTTCCGCTACCAGCGGTGTTTCCGCTGGTCGGTTGACCAGAGGCCGGCCCGGTACCCTGAGTACCGGTCCCGGGGGCATTTCCGCCAGCACCTGCACCGGCCCCTGGTGCTGTCCCAAACGCCGAATCGGCCGAATTCTCCCGGGAATGCGAGATCGAGGGACTCTTGCTGCCTGTTGACGGTGGATTGAAGAAGGAATCTGGTAGATTACGCATGCGCAGTGGTACTTGCAGCGGACGCTTCGAGTCTGGCTTCAGGACGCTGTCGAATAATGCCTGTAGATCCGATTCAGAGTTCTGATCCATCCTCACTACGAGATTGCTCTTCGACAACTGGTCCACGTCCTGGTTCAGCGCCATTTTGGATCACGCAGTTCGATCTAACGCGCTTACTTCGCGTGCCTGTCTTTCCTTCCCTTCTCGTGTCCTGTTCTACCACTGGGCTACCTTTCGTTTCTTCTTTATTTCCGTCTCTTTCTCTTTCTCTGCCACCTTTCTCTCTTCTATCTATCTATCTCTTGTCCCTTTCCGTCCCGTCCCGTTCCGTTCCTGTCGTTCTCTTTCGCCTGAGCCTGTTCTTGCCTGAACAACCGTTCTCTCCGTCTCTTTCTTTCTCTCACACTCTCCCTGTCTCTCTCTATTATTTACGGTATGCACACCTATTATGTTAGCGCTTTCCTCTACGCGGTGAACAACCAGTCCTCTTCTCTACTGAAGCAATCGTATACACACACCGTCTCTTGCTCTCCTCCGTCACTCCTCGGGCCCTCACACCGAGATGGCTTCTTCTCTGTTCCACCTGTGCGTTTCGCGTGAGACAACAAAACAAGCAGGACAATGCCGCCGTCACCGCTGCCGCCGTCGCTCCGATCCACTACGGACTTCCCTTTATACCGGTGCCCTCGCCCTCAAAGATGCCTTCCGGTCCCTCGACGAGCAACGTCTCCTCCACCGTTCACCGCGATATCGCGCACCAGGAGAAATCGACTCGTTTTGCTAGCCGGCCGTCTAGCAAACGAGTGCTAGCGTTCACCGTGCGTGGACACGCGATTACGTACAGGGCCTAGAAACTCTTGTGTGCCCAATGTTACTCGAACTTCAGCGTCATCTGCTTGTCATGCCTGACACTAAACTACGATGGCGGTACATATGAACACTCGGTATATATTTTCTTTACTCATTCCCGCTTTTATACTTGCCGGAATAAACTATTCGGCATAAAAAATAACGAAAATATAAACTAGACGCAGTAATATACTTTATTACTGAATATAGAGAGTTCTGTCTTAAGATCGAAACGTCGCAATAATTTCTCGCATGAAATCTGAATTTCTGAACTAAGGATTTTTACTGGTTTTACGTACGTAATAACATTCTGTGTTTGGTATTTTGAAGCCTATTCGATAGACGTACATTTCTTGGAATAAACTTTCAAAAAAACGAAAAGTAAGACCATAAGTAACAGAACAATAACAAAACTTATATATAGAATTCTGTGGGACTTCCTCTCTCTAACCGCAAATTTATAACAAACGCTACCATTGAGGTACCAGTTTCAATACATACATTTTTCCTACAGCTGATTTTGCGATGTAGTAATATTTTCCAAGTTTTCTTTGCCAATCACTGCTGTTTTTCATTCGCAACTCATCGACTTTTGATGGAAGAGTACAAGACTGCTTCAGTTCGTTGTAAAATCCAACAACCGCGGATATTGAGGCGATATAAAATTTTCCGACACGTTCGTTACATTAACGGTAACAAAAATACAGAGTTATACTTATATGTTCGGGGAACGTCTTCAAAATTGGCAGATTGTAAGCGATTTATTTTCAGCTGTGTACCATTTGAACCATTTGAACCATTCTGTAATATCATACTTAAAGTGTAGTCTACAATATCGAGTAAACTGTCCTTGGTTGGTCAATGGTCATCTGCATAATCATTGAAAATACGACTGATGTTTTTGCAGTGCACATATACATTCGATGATTTTCTATGGACAGATTTACCGAAACTTACGCGATTGGTTGAATCGAAATAGAAATTCATTTCTATTTTCTGTCTATTTCTACATCCCTTATTTATCCAACACAGAAGGCCTAACGATGACAACCACACGCAGCGATACTGTTTTCAACTTGACCATCTACAATGTTGAACGGTCGATGGTTTTCGATATTTCGGTTGTGTGGTTACTTTAATTTATTGACAAAAATGTAACACTTCTATTTTAAATTGACTATGTTTTTACAACCGGAATGATATCTGTTTTATCCAAGTTAAGTTATTTGTGTAAATATTGAAGGTGTTTTATTCAAGTAAGAATTCGTTCACGCGAAAACCGAAAATGTCTTCGAAGAGGTATTTAATTGTTTTTACTTCGTGTTTTTTAAACTGGCAAAACCTCGCCGACTCACGGACGGGAGAGTTATTTGTAGCTAGAAGGAATCGGCTCGACGATTCGAAGCACGTTTCTTCTGTTAGACGAAACAATTGCACTGTATCGATTCTTTGTTTCTTTGTTAACCTGCACCATCAATTTCGCCACATTATTTATTAAACATGTAGTTACCCTTTTTCGAATAAATTTAAAAAGCATTGAATCTTGGAAACCCTTTCAATTCCTTTTACACCAACCAGAGCTATCTGCTAAGCATACTTAGATGTAATATATTAATGCAAAGTAAAACATTACTATATGTAACTTATACATATATACTACTTCATGAAACTCACCATAAAAATACCTTTCATAACATAATTTCTGTCATGTAAGAGTAAAAAGACTTTATGTAAATACTGCTTTTTATATTATTACATATACAGTGTAGTTATAAATGTTGCATTGTGTTACATTAAATATTTCATGTAATCTATTTCTAGTGAATTAAAAAAGTTGTCAGAGGAAAGTTTAACAAGACAACCAGAAGAAGTCTTTGACATAATATGCAAGTTAGGAGAGGGGTAAGTTATCACATAGGAAAGAAAAATTCATAATCTTCTAAAGGATTCTCAAAAGGATCTTGTTCACAAAAATAAGATATGATAGTACCTATTAAATGATGCAATCTTTTTTTAATGCAGATCCTATGGATCAGTTTATAAAGCTTTGCACAAAGAAAGTGGACAGGTACTTGCTATTAAACAAGTTCCTGTTGATACAGACTTGCAGGAAATAATAAAAGAAATTTCTATCATGCAACAGTGTGATTCTCCATATGTTGTTAAATATTATGGAAGCTACTTTAAAAACACTGATTTATGGGTAATTTAAAACATTGCTATAATAACAAGTACTATCTGTTGATCTAATGTTTGCTTGCAATCATAATGATACAATTTCACAGATTGTAATGGAATATTGTGGAGCTGGATCTGTTAGCGATATTATGAGGTTAAGAAAGAAGACTCTACAAGAAGATGAAATAGCAACAATCTTGTGTGATACCTTGAAAGGTTTAGAGTATCTTCATTTGCGGAGAAAAATACATAGAGATATTAAAGCAGGAAATATCTTGCTCAACAATGAAGGGCATGCAAAACTAGCAGATTTTGGAGTAGCAGGACAGCTAACTGTAAGCCTTGTTATTTTTATAACATCCAAATCAACGAAAAAGCAATTGTGAATATTTTTTTGCAGGATACAATGGCAAAACGTAACACAGTCATAGGAACTCCATTCTGGATGGCTCCAGAAGTTATTCAAGAAATTGGATATGATTGTGTTGCAGACATATGGTCTCTTGGTATAACAGCATTAGAAATGGCAGAAGGAAAGCCACCTTATGGTGACATACATCCAATGAGAGCAATATTTATGATTCCAACTAAACCACCACCTAGCTTTAGAGAACCTGACCAGTGGAGTCCTGAGTTTATTGATTTTGTTAGTGGGTGCCTTGTTAAAAATCCAGAAGAAAGAGCTACTGCCACTGAGCTTTTGAATCACGAATTTATTGGTAAAATCCAGTGAGATGTTTAAATTATTGCATTTTGTACATAATATTATTAAATGATATTATTTAATGTCTTATTGCAGGTAATGCTAAACAACCCAGTATTCTGAGTCAGATGATTGCAGATGCTCATGAAATACGAGAGAAGCAGAGTGCACATCGTGCTCATGTGATCAATAATGTTGCAATAAAAAACCAAAATCAGACTGAAGACTCGGTGTGTGTTTGAACTGGTATCAATAATAAATAACATTGGATATGCATTAATATTCATAATAAATATTTCGTATTCACTGGTAGGATGAAGAAGATTGTAGTGGAACAATGAAACCTTTGCCAGAGGATACAGGAACTTTAGTACCAAGTCATGATCTTCCAGATACAGGGACACTTGTTTCCGCAATGTTGGACTTAGGGACAATGGTTATTAACAGTGACACAGATACTGAAGCAACTATGAAACGTTAGTAAAACTAATTTCTTTCAATAATATAAATAGCTAAAAGGTATAATAGTTAATATAATTTATTTGCAGGTCATAATACAGGGTCAGTTGAATCCGGCAAGAAGTACCGGCCATTATTTTTGGATCACTTTGATAAAAAAGAAGCACCTGAAATAGGAAAGGTAAGATCAATACGTTTTATGTATCTACGTATGTCTTACTTTATATAGAGTGTATGTAATTGATTTGTTAATCTCTAGGGTAATGGACAAATACTTGGAGGAGCTCATAATCCAGATAATGAAAGTAAATTAGAATTACGAAGCCCCACAGAATCTCAAAGGTTTCAAAGTCATCTACAATTACAGCTGAACCAGATTTCTCATCCTGTGCAAGAACAACCACATAATAACATATCGAAGTTTCAGAATGTCTTTACGGAACGCGACTTCGATTTCGTAAGTAACGAACTATTTTAGATACCTAAATAAAAAAAGTTAAAGAATAGTTTAGACAGGTTTCCAGTATTACGCTTTTTTTCTTTTAATTTAAAATCGATCGACATAATGCCACTTTAGGCATCATATAAAAGAAACTTGAATATAGATAAACAACCATCTCCTGCAGCTGAAGTTTCTCTCATACGAGGAACTACAGCAACGAATGGCTAATTTGGACGCAGAGATGGAGCGGGAAATTGACGAGCTAAGAAGAAGGTATCAAACCAAGAGACAACCAATTCTTGACGCTATGGATACCAAACGAAAACGTCAGCAGAACTTCTAACAGTTTGGTTACTTTTTTTATGCAAATAAGTGTGATGACGATAGATAAAGGGTGTACAGTTGTATAAATGAATAGATTTTATTCATCTCGACCTGAATTTCACCAAAGAGAAGATGATTGCCCGATTAAATGTTTACCTAAAAAAAAATGTAATAGCAATTCAAAGTATTTTCCTCTCTTAATGAGTCAATGTCTTCCTCTTTGTGAATCAGATACGAGTAACTAATACTAGCCAATAGCCTCACGTCATCAATGTAAATTATTTTACATAATTTAGGTGAACAATCATTATACTTAATTTTTTTTACATTTATGTTTATCTATGTACTATTAACGCTATTCTTACAGAAATATTATGGAATCCCATTAGCATTCTTTACAAACAAAAGCTGAAAAAAATCGAATGCAATGGGAGCAGAAGAATCAGTATACCATGTTTGCATTTTTTTTTCTTTTTTTTATTGAGAAAGAAACCGAGAGGTGCCGACATGAAATTGATATTTGGTTTTTCTCTTACGCTAGTCACCTATTATGCCATTTATTTTATCCATAATATAACGTTAACAAATATCATCACGCGTATGGAATACAAGAATGGAGATCATCCCGAAAATATATTTATAGATTTTTGCGCTAACACATCGTTTACCTCTGAAATAATCTCAGATAAGTAAACAAGTTTTAGAAAGTATTAAAGTTTTTACTCCTTTTTTACTGCCATAGATATTATTGTGCGTTTACCTACGGATATTAACATTTAGGTTACGAAATATTCGTTCTTATTTCGGATGACTTAGGTTCAAGATTTTGTAAGAAAAATATCACGAATTGTTTGGTATTGTTTTATACCATGCGAGATCACAAATAAAAGTGATAGTATCTCAAAGTCAAATCTATATGACGAATGAACTTACTAAAATTAGTCTTCCGTATTAGAATGTATTTCAATAATTCGTTAAGTATTTAAATTGTTGAATCATTACAAAGCAAAGGCGAAATTTATAATTTTTTTTAGATTCATATAAATTTGTATTTTATTAAATCGCATTTTTTAATCAATTTTATATTTGAAATTTTCAAGTATGTTATCATTATATTTTCTGTAAAAGTTTCCGTCAATTTTGATCTATATTATGTCAGGGGAACAGTAACGCATGTACATACGTACTGTTGAGAATATTACAACATAAGTGGAGTAATTTTTTGCTGACGTTGGGCTATTTTAAAAGTAGCGAACATAGATTTAAAATACTTAAATGCTATAGCCAGAACTGACTTTTGTTTATTTAGAAAATAGCAATACAGAATTACAACATATTTTTGATATAGAAAATATGCACATTACAATCGAAGGAGATTCGAATATTAATTATTAAATCCAGTCTTTATATGATCCTACCATGGTACACAATATTATCATAATAATAGCGTTGGGTTCCACTGTTAATATGAAGAGCAGATAATTAAGTTATAATCTAAAAAGTAATATTTCTACTGTTTGATGAAGAATAGAGCGCACTATTCACTGCGACATGCGACTCCATCAACATATATGCGTTAATAATGTAACAGAACGAATAAATTTTATTCCTGCAAAGTTAAGCATTCGATAAAACACAAATATATTTAACCTCCCAGAGGCTGACATATATCTTCAACATTGTGAACCATTGTAACAAAAATACAGACTTTTTTAGTTAGCTTCATATTCACTCATTAATAAAGTACGCTGTCTTTTACTTGTTTTTTTCTTTACAATAAAATATTGAATACTGCGATTAATTCATTTCCTTTTAATTCTTTTATTGCATAGTTTTATTAGCATTTCAAGTAAGATATAAACACATTATCTAAATGATTATACTTTCTTTCATAAATTATTTCATATTCACATTAATGATATAGCAAATTAAATAATTGTTAAACTTAATTATAATAAATAAAGTTTATGTAGTCATTTCTTATATTATTTTTTACACAAAATTAATTACAACATATGTATGTAGTAAATATAATTATCATGGCATTAGTACATAAGTGAAATATTTACTTGTTTTACATTTTATATGAAAATTTTATAAATATATAGTTATAACTTACCAAAAATATAATATCATCTGGAAAGTTTAATAGTCTTGGAAAACTAGATACTCGTAAGACATATTTTGTTTCATCACACTATGTTTTATAATTATAAATCATCATCACCTATCATATGAAATGCATTGTTTTCCATATCACACTCAGATATATATTTTCTTTGAATTTTATTATTTAGACTACTTGACTTTTTCATTTTTACTACTAACAATCCACTAGCTAATTTCTTTATAATCGGTTCTGACTTGGAAGATTCTTTAATACACTGATCCTGAAGAAATATATAATGGAATAAATGTATATACAGTACGCAAGAAAGGATAAGTTGATTTACAATTACATACCTTTTTACTTTCTTTTACTTGTTCATTAGAACTTGATCCCATCACGATACTTTGTCCATCTCTCCTAATGTATGTCCAAGACTTTCCAGATACTTCCTATAAACAAATTTTTAGCAATCAAATTTTATTCTTTGATAATAATAATATGAATAACAGTATTTTTTTAACCTCAGGCTTACTACCACCAGCATTCTTTAATAGTAATTCATCAATCATAGCTTGCAAGCATACAGACATTAAAATAGCTTGTTCTGAAGTGATTGTAATCCATTGCAATTGATTCTTAGCGATTAAGTATTCAAAAGACAATTCCAAACTAAAGTCATCATTGTCATCACATCTCTCCAGACCCTAAAATTCCGAAGGCATCGGTAAGTTAACACAGCACTCTGAAAACAGTCTTTTTCATAGTAACTCACATTTTGTACAGTGGTTATCCGCCAACAGCGCATTCGAGAAACCTTAAAGACTTCTGCAAGTTCTTCTCCATCAGATAGTACGCGCAAATTTAATTCATTTCTACCTATAGCAACTAATACTTTTGAATCCGATTTAGGGTAATCACAATAGCATGGAGCAAACTGAATATAGTTATAGTACTTTAAAGTACGCACTATATCCAAATACTATAATAAAAATATTTAAAAATAAATCACTTCATATAATTATTAGAATTATGAGAATTTTTATCAGATATAGTTTGGTATAGCAAGTAACAAACAGTATATCTCTTAGTCTTCAGTTAAATGAAAAATGCTTAAACCAATGCACTTTTACTGTCATAGTATAATACATATTAAAACTTACTTTCTTTTTATGTCCCTGATTTTGTAAAGTGATCAAATAATCTTTTAATTCATCTTTGACTGTAATCCATCCTCTTTGAACCTCTGCCACAGCTTGAATATACAATAAATTCGTAGCGACTGCATTATTCATTAATTCAAGTTCATATACTGTATCCCAATAATTTTTTCCAAGTACAACCTTGCTGCATATGGCACTCATATGTTTGGTCGTAATAAAAGGAGATTCAAAATTCTGCAATTTTCGTAACACTGAAGAAAATAATCAATTGAGAATAATTACAAATTTTATACAATATTATTGCAACAAAATGATGCTACCAAGTTATACTTACAATAAACAATATTGCCTTCGTCTTGAGCAACAATAAACAATGCAAAATATGAATAATATTCTTCTGGTAGTTTAAGATGCTTATAGACTTTCTGTTAAACAAAAGAGTTTAAACTAGAGATTGATTAATTTCATATACAATGTTCATTAAATATTTATCACCTTCAATACAGCTCCAGAGTGATCACCCAAGGATACATTTACTATTATTTTACATCCATTCATCAGGAAAACATCCATACACTCATTATTGGATAAACCACCTATAGTTTCTTGTTGAGCATTCAATAAAAATGCGTTAAGCATTCCTGAATTATTGATAACTGCATTTTGTCCAATTAACTGAATATACTTTTCTAATGATAAACGACGTTCTTCTTGTTGATTTGTTGTTAAAGGAAAAAACTTTTTTGGTGGAAATGATGGTAAAAGTGTGTCCAGATCTTTAGTCAATTGTTCATGAAGATTGTGTAATTGTTTATATCTGACTGTACAATGAAATAATCCATTTATATGAATGTTATAACCCTGAAAATTTAAATATATAAAACAAATATGCAACACATTGGAACACACACAGTACAGAGAAAAATTAATTACCACATACGTATTACCAGCTGTATCAAGAAATTCTTGCGTATCTGGTATAGAAAAATGCATTTTTATAAAATAATGTATCAATACTATATGTTCATTTGGTACTTAGATATATTATCTATGTAATATTGCAATACAATTAATTTATAACAAATTGTAACTAACTGTTCTACTCTGTATAAATATATAAAAAATTTAACATATTTAAAAATATACTCCAAAATGTATAAAATGACCACATTGTATACAATTACAAAACAATTGTGTTTATATAAGTGTACATGCATATAGTTTCAAAAATTCTGCTCCATCTGAAAAATAGAAGAATAAGATATAAAAATAAGGCCAATAAGGACAAACAGTTCATAACCATTACATATTATGGCACAATTTAACCGATTGCCGCTTAAATAATTCAATTGTTTTTCATAAACTTAATTTTTTATCATCGAAGTTCCGTTAAAGTTTCTCAGGTAAGAAAAATACTTACATATGGTAAATTTGTCACAACGTCATTCTCTTTAACGATAGGCGTATACGCTTTACACCCACACAGCATCTATATATTTCGTGCTATTAAAGCTGACGCATTTTTTAATACTTATATACGTTAATACAAACACGAATCCATGTAAATGAATACAATTTTTTAAAAGTGAAATTCTTTACGGAAATTTACAAATCTGAAAGTTTGTATTGCGCATATAAAAGTTCTAAGTATAATCACGCAATACTCAATCTTACAAAGTTGTCATATGATTTTATTTTTCCTACGTTTATAAAATACATTTAATTTCCTCTCGCTCGCAACGTTTCGTTTTGTAATCTTGTGGGCGCCACGGCGCCCGTATTAACAGTTTCTATTTTTGAACATCGAATAAACTAGATCAGATACTCACTTGAAAACATTAGTACGCTCGAAATTTTTTACTATGATAAATAAAAATCTGTATGTGCGTGTAATACTCGTACTAATTGTATCCAATGTTTTATTCAACATTTGCGCATACTTTATTTTTTCTTGCTTTAAGAAAATTTCTCAAAATTACTAAACCATAAAAGAGACTGTTTTCAAATGCTAGCGTTTATAATTCATAGATGTATTATATTTGTATACACAATAATATGAGACATAACGTGAAACATGTGTACATTTTACGCTTTATATCCTTAACATAAGTAAATGTTAGAATATGTTTATAAACTAGATTTTTCATCCTAGCAGAGGATCCTAGCACAGACGAGGTATAGAATAGACTTATAATCTTATAGGACTTTGCGTCGTATGTCTGAAATAACGATCGTCCAAACAGTCTGAGACTTTCTGCTGCCCTCTACGTTTTGAAAACGGTAAATTCGTGAATTACAGTAGAAGCCCAATAATAGCGGGTCCGTTAATTGATCATTAGGAGCGCCTCCCGCTTGCACGTGTTCCTCGAACACGTGCGCGAACCCCACTCTGTCGCCCAGCGAGGAAGGAACGGAATACATATGGTGTTGCACTTAACTTGCATATTTTTCAGCACAAAATGTGCGCGGTGAATATAATATTGTTTTAATAAAATGTTTCAATACTCAATAACGTTTGCGAATAAACTTTTTTCATACCTCTAAAAAGAACGGAGATAGTAAGGTGTTCGCTTAAATGAACGGACGATCGTTGGGAAAAGCGCGCGGGTGATTGGAGTCCGTTAATTGATCATTTTTCTTATTCTATTTTTTTATCAGTTATACCTCGTCTGTGGTGGTGCAGCTAGTCAGTACAGAAACTAACAACAAGAATCAATTGATCAAAATGAGCAAGGTCGCAGCCAATTAGCTCATATTATTTGCTATATAATCCGTCAACTTGTAGGTGATTATGGTTGCCAGTTATATCCCAAATAATAATGATTGCCCAGGTCTCACCCCGTGGAGGTTGCTGCGAATGGAGACCCAAGGAGGATAGATGGAATCACATACGTTCTACACGTATCCCCCTTTTACAATTTTTATATCATTCTAACACCATTCACACTAAACAACATAAACTAAATTCAACGCAGAAACTAACGTGGACGTAGCCAGGAGGGGCACTTGTCCCCACCCCCCTGGACGGAAAAAAATTGCATTGCTTCCCCCTGATTGATATGCTCATGGAAACTAATGTTCAAATAACGCAGTTATTTTTTAAACCCGTTCGGCTTTATGACAATCCACGGTGGATGAGAAACCTTCATATACTGATCTTTGTTTTATGTTTTACGTCACTTTGACGCAAAAATCTACCCATCGCGAAACGCCTTCTTGTACATGCCTGTCATGTCT